TCTTCAACACAGGCTCTAGCTCCCTGATAAATCTTGGAACCGCAGCTTTGAACCTTAGACTCCAGCTCTTGTACCCAAGTAACTCCATCATGAAGAGAAAGTTTCTAAGTCAGCAGTTGTCTGCAGGTACTGCTAGAGGGCCCAGAGAAGCTGAAAAAGCCTGGCAGATAAGAAAATGTAGTCTCAGGAACAGCCAGGCATCCTGCCCACACCTGCCCCATCAGCCACCCGCCGGCTGGGGCTGCGGAGCCTTTGAGCAGGGGCAGCTGCAGGCCTGGCAAGGGCAACGACTTGAAGCAGCTGGAGACTCCTTCCCAGCCTCCTTCAGTGGCCAGCTCCCCTTACAGCGCAGGTGGAGGTGGGGGAGGCTTGCAGGGCTTCTCTTGTTTTCCCCACCTGGCTGCAGTGCGGTTTGTCTGCTGGCGCCGCCGAGGCTTGAGGCTGGGGGAAACTGATCAGCTGGGGGTGGGGGTGTTGTCTCCTCAAGGCCTGAGCGCAGTCCAGCCCGCTCTCCCTCCCTCCGGCACTGCTGGGATATCTTTCCAGGGGGAGCAGGGGAAACCAAGCATTTAAAGGTTGCAATAAATAAGAGGAGCTGTCCTGAGAGCTCAACTTGTCCTCTGAAATGCTGCTGCGCGTGACCTGGCTGCTCAGAGGGTGACACAGCTCAGACATCCTGCAGACACTAGGCATTGGGGTGCCCTCCAAGGACTAGCAGGAGGTCAAAGGCATTCTGCCCCCACCCCCACAGTCTTACAGCATGGTCCCCTCTTGGTCCTGCCTCCCCCACTGTGTGGGGGCATCTGTTCCCTGGGTTTTCTCATTATTGTCCTCAAGTCAAGGGTGGGAGGGAAGGAACCCGGGCTGGCGAGCACACCAGCTTCTAAGCCAGCTTCAGTTGGCACTGTGTTTCTCTCCCAAACTCTCCCTGAGTGACCCAACAAATGTTATCAGCGCCTTACAGAACTTCCGTCAAGGTCACTCTGCTCTGCCTGATGCTGTCCCTGAAGACTGCCATGAGAGCCTGCCTTGTTCTCCACCTCCTGTCAGCCTCAGCGCCAGGCCCGGGCATCAGATGCGCCATGGGGAAAGCCCTACGCCTTGGGTGGAGGTCAATGGGAGGCCAGGACAGTAGGCTGTGACGGCCTGTCTGTGGTATGTAGCCCTTTCCCTGCCCGCAGCTGCCTCCCTGTTATGGCAGACGAAGCCCTGCAAGTTTCCTCTATTTGTTCTCCTCTTGCGTGCCTGGCTTCTAAATTCCATGTCCCCTGGGCAGCACAGGGAAATCAAGGATGGCTGGGCAGGAAGGGCCACTGTGAGCTTTATAGCCATCAGCCATAGCCAGCAAGGGCGGCACCAGGACTGCACCCAAGGCCTGGTGCTATGCATCAGAGGTACAACACATTTTCTCTTTAGGGGCCTGTGGTCTCGGCTGGGAGGGATGGTAGAGACAAAAAGCCAAACCCCAATACCTGGGAACAAATCCTCAACAGGGGTGACAAGTGCACTGTAGAATTCAAGGAGCAATGCATTTGCATTCACAGAGGGCAGGATCCTTCTCTCCCTGGCTGACACCCTTCTCTCCCTTCCGGTCAGGCATGTGCAGCCCCTCAGAGGTGAGCAGACCCCACCATCCAGTGTCACTGGGGTCACTGGCAAAGGCACTGGCAAAGTCCCAAGCCTTGTCTCTCTGACTCCTTCACTCTCGCCTAACCTCCTTCTCTCTCCCTGCTCCTTGCATGTCTATACTCAATTCTCTCTCTTTACAGCAGGAATATAATGTTCAGCTGCTTCTACACCCACTCTCTGAATGCTGCCAGCGAATAATGACTAAGGTGGTGGGTGGAAGTACAGCAAGTTGAGACCAATTTAGCAGACCAGGGTGCCAGGAGGAGGGTGATTTAGCAGCAAATGGCTTTGCAGCAGCAAGGAGTGTGAAGATGCCCCCGAAGCCGGCAGGTCAGCGAGCCAAGTACACAGTCCTGCCCTTGGCCAGGGGTTGCCTCAGCCACCTGGAAGTTTGCAAGGTCAGCCGCACGCACAGGGATGGGGCAGGGTTTGAGAGGAAAGCCAACCACCACCCCAGATCTCAGCTCCACTTCAGATGACCCTTAAGTGGCCCCTTTCTTGTGTGCCCCTGTGGCTGGGAATCCCACCTAGACTGGTCCTTCTGGCAGATGCTACTTCTGGGCGGGGAGACACTGAGTTCTGTGGTGCTGGGGAGGGGGATGCCTGACCACACCATGACCACGCCACCGGAGGCTAGCCCAGGTGGACAGAGGTGTGGCTCTCCCACGTCCTGAGATCTTGAGTCTCTCTGAAGACGTGATACACGACGCAGGGCTGGGTATCACAGGGAAGCACATCTCAGAGGGAGGGAGACGCAATGACAGTGGATGAATGAATGTGGTGTGAGCTGAGTGTGCACGTGCTCTGGCAGCCGTCCCAAAGGCAGCGATCTTCTCCCATGGTGATTAACTGATACGGAGGCAAATCTATTAGTGATCTGCAGAGGGCCAGGCACCAGACACAAACCTATCACATCTGTTCACATACCAATCTGACCTGTCACTTAGTATATAAAATGCTTAGGGATAGAGGAGGCACAAAAAGTAAAGAAAATTCTCATGTCCCCATATGCTTGAATTACAATAATTATGAAAGTAACTGAGTTCCTATAATTAAAATAAAAACTCTTTCTTCTAAACATTAGCAACTCAGTGAACACAGCCTGTTTAATTAATAAGGCCCAGAGCAGGGGATGTAGCTCAGTGGTAGGGCACATTCTTAGCGTATGTGAATGCCCGGGTTCAATCTCCAGCACCACCACCCCTCAAAAAAGGAAAAACATCAATGCGACTTGGCGGACATAGTGTGACTGGGTGTCAGGACAGCTGGATTTAAGCCTCAGGGTCCCTATGACAATCTTGGTGAATGTTTTCCCCTCTGATGCGTTTCTTCATCTGCCAAATGGTAAAAGTCTTCTCACAGTCACTGTGACACATTAATAATGATAAGTCCTTTTTAATGTGTAAAGTCCTGTGTAAATGAAAAGGGCCACTAAAAACATTCCAGCCAACCTGGTGGTGCACACCAGTAATCCCAGCATTCTGCAAGGCTGAGGCAGGAAGATCACCAGTTTGAGCCCAGCCTGACAACTTAGTGACTTGGCAAGACTGGGTCTAAAATTTAAAAAAAAAAAAAAAATTATGGGGGAATGTAGGTTAGTGTGAAATCCCCTGGGTTCAACCACCTGTACACACACACACACACACACACACACACACACACACACACACACGCTCCAGGCAGCAACACAGAAATGCCTTTGGCAAACAGCCTGTGAGCCCAGCCTGGCCATGCTTGAGCTTAGCTACCATGTCTCTGCCCACTCCTGAACCCCTTGGAGCAGGAGTTCTATGGGGCAATCTCTACATGCTGGGCTGGGCTGGGCTGGGCTGGCAGCACAGTGGTGACAGGTGAGTTACCTCCCACTTGTCATTCACCAGCTCTTGTGAAGGGAGGTGACAGACTCTCCCTAGGGTTCCCCTTGGAAGAGAAAGGCCCATCCCCCAGCTCTCACTGGCATCTTCGGAGCCTGACCTTGGCGTTTGCTCCACCCACTCTACACTCTCCTCAGGTTCCACTTCCAGATTCAGCACACAACCAACCCACCCCCTGCCTTGCTGGGCAGCGTCTCGGTCTCATCCAAAGTTAGTACGACAAGAGACTTGCCACTGATTCATGCTTGCTGGCCCTTCTTTTCCAATTAGCATCCCAAATTTAACCTCAAAGCATTATTCAGCTTTCTGTAAAAATCACCCATCTCCCTGACACCTCAGGTGGAGAAGACCTTTAATGAATAGTGAAATGCAGAGCTTTTCACACCTGAATAATGATCTTTGAGAGGAAAACTACAATTACCATGGACTTCTGAGAGCACTCGTGACCACTGCACTATGGGAGATGATGAGATGAGGCAAAGACAAGAGAAGAAAGAACACCAGAGTGTGTAGCCTTGGAGGAACCCTGGCCACACTACTTCCCCTAACATGGTAGCAATTCATGCTCCCCACTCAGCGGAGCGGCCAAACTGCAGTGCACAAAGATCCATTCAAAAGCAACCTCAAAGAGCAAAAATGTAAATCGCCTAGATTCCCCCAAGCAGTTGGATACTTCTTTGTTGGCAAAACCCCAGAAACACCTCATCATTGCCCTGGAACCATCTGCCCCTGAGGTTCTGAGTGCGCAATTAAAAACCCCAGGTATAAATCACGTCTCGCACCTTCCCCTTCTGTAACTATACTTGTGGGTGGGTGCACTGGAGCGGGAGGGCAGGGGCTAAGTTCCCTCAGGCTCCAGAACTGCTGGGGGCTGGGCTGGGCCCACAGCAGCCCTGTCTAAGCAAAGGGCCTATGACAGGGGACAGGAAGTGAGAGGCCACACCGGTAAAGTGTGCCCAGCCAGAAGTCACACCGGGAACAGTACTGTCCCCCAAGGGTTTGGGACAGCCCTCCTCTTTCCCATCATGCAAGGCCTGCTCAGGGTAGCCAGACACTGTATTCTGAGCTAGGAATTCATGGCACCATCTCATCTCTAGGAATTCTGCAGCTTAGGAAAAGCCAGCAACAGGGAGGAATGGTGCTAGGAACTCAGAGGAAGGTACCTGGATCCTACTAAGGAAAGGATGGAGGAAGCTTGGAGTTGATCTCTATGGTTAAAACATAAGTGCACACACACACACAAAAAAACATAAGTGCACATGGTTGGGCAAGGATATTCTACACAGGAGGAATAATGCGTTTCTATGTTCAGAGGAAGCAGGGGAATTTGGAAGGAGCCAGGGTCTGATGTCTTAGTGCCCTGAGTTCAAATCCCTGCCCCTTTATCATCCAGCCTAAGTCATTTAATTCTCTTTGTTAATCATACATGGCCTGCAGGGCTGCAGTGAGAATTAAAGGAGACAATGAATAAAAGTACTAGGCACTCAGTGTACTTACTGGATAGTATTAAATCTCACTGCAATATTTTCCATCACTTCGTCTACAAGCTGCTTAACCACAGGTTCTTTCTTGGTCAGCACCTTAGTCATCTTTGTAGCCTCACTCTTTAGCCCAGAGCCTTGCATTCTGTAGACACCAATGAAAATGTATTAAATGAGTGTTGAAAAGCGCAAAAGCATATCAAGAAGTTCTCAGGACTAGAAAGCCATTTTTATCCCGCAGGAGCCCATCTGTCTCTTCATCCAAACATGCAGACCCTTGTCTTCTCCACAGTACATGGTAAATCTTGCCATCACCCACCTGCAAAGCACTGGCACCCCCCAGCAACACAGTACCCAGCACCCTCCTTTGATGGCAGCCCCTGGCACCATCTACTCAGCCACACACAGACAGGGCACCGCCTACAGACACAGGAGTGCACAAGCCTAAGTGCTGCAGCAGCTTACCTCACCAAGTGCACGGCAACTGCTGTAAATGCTAACTAACTTCCCTGATCAAGAGCAGACGTCTGGTCTCCCCCTTGCTGACACATAGGCTCCCTTCCTTCTTTTCCTACTGTTTTTTTTTTTTTTTTCTCTCACCCCCAGCAGGATGAGCACTTCACACTCCTTTGTACTCAGCTGAGCCCTCTTTCTGGAACTCCCTACCTGACTTCACTCCCATTAGCCCTGAGACCTCTGGGAAACCCTTCCTTTCTGCTGTCTCGGCTCCTCCACTAAAGACACAGAAAGTAAGTGTGGCTCATGCCAACCTGCTAGTTATGTTGTCAGGACAAAGGAGATAACAAATGAGATAACGTCTCTGATGTGCAGAACCAGCTCAGAAGAAAGGTGCTGGATAAACACAAGGTGTGGGGCCACACCTGATTAGCGTGCATGCTCTGCCCACAGACTCCTGCCCACAGACTCCTGCCCACAGACTCCTCCAGCCTCGCACACAATCACTTCCTGTCTGTAAAGGAGAGCTCTAATACTCTTATGCACACATCCTTCAAACACCTCCATTTTCCCTCCACGTGCCTGCAGAAAATTGTTTTTGAACTTAAAGGAAGCTCAGGTTACAAACCCTCTCTAGCTCTTACTCCAAGCATAGGAAGGATTGCCAAGCCGGCAGCTCATCTCTGGCCGGCTCCTGCTGGGGCCCTCACAATTAGCAGGCTGCACTTCCAGTCCAGGGAGGACTCTGTCTGGAGAAGCCCGCTGTCCAGAACTCAGTGCCTTCGCACTAGCTTGCCAGCTCTGGGAGACTAGAGGGAGGGGCTGAGAGAGGAAAGGTAGGTGCTCCAATCTCCATGCATTCCTTAATCCTGGGAAACTGGGTAGTCTGAGGCCATCAAGTCCGCAACACTTTCCCAGGGCCCGGCGCTCGTGGGCGAGCAGAACACTCATAGGCTCCACCATTCAAGCCTTTCCACTTGGAGCAGGAAAGAGAAAAGCCCTGGCCCTTGGAGCTTCGGTGCCTGTTACTGCCCAGTTGTGCTGCAGGGAATTAAGCCGGTAGCAGCGGAGCTGGAAGGGGGCAGGGGGCCTGGCTGCCTGCGCGGTGAGGGAAAGGAGTTCCTGCGTTCCATCCAGCACTGACCCTGGAGACCTACAGCTCCAGGAGGTCCCTTAATACATCCTGGCTCATCCTCTTGCTCTCTGTCGACCTCAACTCCATGTGACTTATTCCTTTAGGGAAGCACGCCAAGCCTCTAACCGGGTCCAAGCCACCCGCGCGGTCACAGCCCATCTCCAAAGTTCCAGGCCGTGAAGTTCAGCGGCCGGTCCCCAACTGTCCCACCCAGCTCTCTCCGCGGACGTGGGCCCCCCGCAGCCTCACTTCCTCGCTTCCCAATGCCTCACCTCCGACACCAATGTCACTCAGCACTTAGGTCCTGGAGATCAGATTCGGGGCTGGGAGTGCATAAACCCTGTCTGCCGGAGGCGGAGACAAAGACGGACTGATGGACGCACCATCTTCTCCTCTGGGGCCAGATCGGAAGCACCCACGGTGGCAGCAGAGGGTTGGACCCTGACAACCACACTCAGAGACAAAGACACCCAGACAGACACGGACCCCGACAGACAAAGACGGAGGGACGCGCGGACGCACGCAAGAAGCTGCAGCGCGGGCGCAGCTCTGCCCCAGCGGGGCGCGGACGCAGCTCCCCGAGCGCGGACCTCGGCCACCGCACCTTACCTGGCCCCAGCGCCTGGCCGCTGGCTTGGGTTTTAGTTTTTTTTTTTTTTTCTGTTTATTTTGCTGTGCGATCCTCTCTTTTTGCAGAGCTGCTGGGCCGGGCTGGGCCCGCAGTTCTCCGGCGCTGGCTCGCTGGATGAGGCGGGCGGAGAAACTTTCCGCCTCCCCGCGGTCCGCAGCCGCCCGCAGCCCGCCCGTTCGCGGCGCGCCAGCCTCGCGCGG